CTGACAGGATGTAAAATGGTAGGAAGCAAAACGAGCAACTTTGAAGCTTTGATAGAGGCAAATAACAGCCACAGCTACATACACTAGACATGTAACAATAATAATAGTGATAAATGAGATCTGATCGTCTTGCGCTGGCGACCTGCACGACTTTTGAAATTTCATTTGATCTGCCCACGCACCACTACAAACCAATCAAAGCACTGTTGATTCGTAGATTACGGAAATTATTGCACTTGGGACAGTCTCGACGAAAATGTAGCACTCGACTTCGCCTTGTGCTACATTTTCCTCTCGACCGCCCCTCGTGCAATAATTTCCGTAACCTACTCTCAACAGTGCTTTAACTAATACATGTAGTGGTACAATAGTATACAAGTATAGTATGTGTGGCACATACAGTACTATAATAATTTCACCCCAAGTACATGTACATGTAGTTCTCTTTGAAATCATAACAATTACTTAAAACAGACGACTACACATGTACATGTATGTACAAATTCATTGTTAATGGACTTTAGTTGATTAATTTGACTATCAATTTAAGCCTTAAGGACTTAAATGCGGTAATAGTACTTATTGATTATTTTGCATAACATAAACAAGTTAAACCATCTTTGATAATACAACAAGATATAGTTTAAACACACACACATGTCAGTACAATAATAATTAAATGATAATAATATATGTACATGTAACGTATGTGATAATAATAATAATATTTATGATATTACGGTAAAGTGGAAAATTTTCGTGGATTTCTGTTTTTTTTTTTTCAAAATTCACGAAAATCAATTTAGATGTAATATGGTCAAGAGTATAAGACACAAAAATTAAAGCTACAAAATTGATTTTCTAAAGAATTGACAAAAAAATTTTTCCACTACATGTACATGTAAGTATAACACTAACCAGTAATCTGTTCCACCATGTCTTCTGTAGCTGTTTCTTCTTCTCAGGTCTCACCAGACACTGTATGATCTCCTCCAGTTCAGAGAGTAGCTGCACACTGACCATCAAGTGGTAGGCTCTGTTGTATGACTCACCAACCAGTGCAGTCAGTTCAGCATCCAGTGAACTCCTTGCTTTATCAATAGACTATAAAAATAACCATGCATGTAACAGTGAATGAAACTCTTTACAATATTGTTATGTACATACATACCGTACAAGATGATTTATTGGCGGGAGTAATATTTGGCAAATTTGCCTGTGAAAAGAAATTGGCAGATTTTATAGTGGCAATTTCTTCATAGAACCGCCAATCGCCAATATTAATTCCTCACCAATAAATCATCTTGTACGGTACATGTACACGTAATGTAAAATTGAAGCTGATTCCAGCTCATTATTTGAGATATAGCAATTTAAAGTGATGAAAGTGATTAAAAATAACAAAAAATAGCCCATGCTTTTTTTACAAAAATGGCTCCAAAATCACCCCAAAGTTTTATTACATTTTCTGATACACTTATGCTGTGTAGAAAGTTTGAGCTAATCCCGACAAATATTTTTCAAGTTACAGCCATTTTTAGAAAAGGGTCATTTTCTGAAAAATATCCTGTACTAGCCCATGCTTTTTTCCAAAAAATAGCTCCAAAATCACCCCAAATTTTTATTACATTTTCTGATACATATTGATGTACTTATGCTCCGTAGAAAGTTTGAGCTCATTCCGGCTTAAACTTTTCGAGTTACAGACATTCTTTAAAACAGCCAATTTTAAAAAAATACCCAAGACTACATGTATATAGCCCACGCTTTTTTCTGAAAAACAGCTCCAATATCCCCCTAATTTTTATTACAATTTCTGAAGTATAATGATCAATGTCCTTATGCTGTGTAGATAATTCGAGCTGATTCTAAATTAAATTCCCCAAGTTTACACTACTGACTAATAGATACAGTACATATGCTAACCTTCTGTGCATCAATGAAGCAGTGATTATGAATGTTAAGTAATGATTGATAAAAGGCTCCATCAAAGGACTCCTTAGGTATACACCTAACGTACTCTTCCATACTCTCCCACTGGTTGAGGCCCCAGGCTGCTGCAGTCGCCATTACTGACATCTGCTGGCGAGTGTCATCATCTCCTAATGGCCACATCTCACTTGCTATGTCGTACAAACGATTCCTAAGATATAACATTAAAAATATTATTATTATATCACTTTTATCATAATGAACACCCTCTCCCTCTTCAAAATGTATACAACAATAATCCTCATCACAAATGCATGTAAATGTGTAATTTACCTTAAGGTTACTTTTAAATGCGGGTGCTATTAATTGCAAATTTTGCGTTTGGGTTAAAAATCGCAATTATTAATACTCACAATTATTAATAATGACATCATGATGCCATATAACTATTAGTAATAATTACTTAATCACAATTTTTAATACCAGCAAAATCTACCTTTTGCTAAAATCGCAAAATTTAGTGCCCGTAATTAAAAGTCACTCTAAGGTAGCTAAATTACTCCAATAAAATTGCTACACTTTATACATTTAAATTATTAAAAAAAACGCTAACAGCCACAACTAAGGTAACAATATTAATTTTTGGAGCTCATACATATCACACTATTTTTTGTGGAAAAAAACATCATGATTTTTTGTTGTTTAATGAAACCAGTACCACATGCCTCAGGATTTTATAACAATTTTCCTGACAAATATAAGCACAAGAAAAAGATTTTTTTGAACAAAATTTGGCACTATTATACAAGTACATGTATACAGTTTTATATACCGTACATGTACATGCACTAACCATTCTCCCATAGCATGAAGGCACCTCATTCGGCCCAGGGCTATCTTGATATCATCAGGTCTACTGTACTGCTTGGTCTGATACAAGTGAAGAGCTGCTTCCCAATCATTGAGACTCTCATACCACTCCTCTTGGATTTTCTATTAGAAAAATAAATGAATTTAATAAAAGTAGATGCACATGTACAATTTAGGGCATATAAATGTATGACGATCGTACATTTTCTATTAAATTCTATTAAATAGGAAATTCAAGAAATTCTAAAAATTCTATTATTTTAAATAGAATTTTCTTTATTAAAAAATAAAAAGCATTTAATACCGTACAAATCTACATACATTTTTATGGCATTTAAACTGATGAACATTAGGTACTGAATTGATACTGATGATAATTGAATTTAATGTCATTATTTTAAATATAAAAAGTTAATCCCTAAAATTTTTACTCTTCTATTAAGAACAAGGCACCCTGCATTTACATAACAATTCTTGGGCCATAAAAATCTGTAGCTACACTTAATACAGTAAGTATAATAAAAAATAAATACTGTATTAAATAATTAATACAGTAAATAAAATAAAAAATAAATACAGTATTAAATTATACGATAAATGTCATAAACTTACAAAGTCTCCTTGCTGTCTTTCCTTAGCAAACATCAGTACACCCACAGCAGCATCAGGCTGTTGGAGCTTATTATTAATAGCAATCAGTGACTCTAGTAGCTTTGGTGTCACTCCACGATGAAAGTCCTCTTCCTTGTAGTGAAGAGCCTTAGCATAGGCTCTACAATTCATAGCACACTCTCCTAATAGTTCTGAGCTTAGAGGAAACCGTCCCTAAACACATGTACATGTAGATACATGTAATACAGTATCAAGTGCTTTACTGTACATGTACATGTATCGTGACTATTTGCTGTAAAATGTAATTGGAAATTTTTGTACATACAGTGTATGTGTATTACTAAGCATGTACTGGTGATTTTAATATTAGGGATTTCACTTAATTGTCAATTGTCAAAATAAAACTCAGCCAAATTAAAGTGCCATACTGTACTTATATGTAGGACAAATTAAAGAAAGGAGATATAAGCTAAGCTGCTATAGCTGTCAAGGCAAAGTTCACCATGTTTGTTTGAGCAGAAAAAATTCTTATTAAAGAAATGTGTGTAATGTTACAATTGATTACAATGAATAATTAATTATCAGGTCTCAGTTATTAAAACTTACAGTGGCCTCCTCACAGTGCTCCATGAACTCGGCTAAGTTAAGGACAGTTTGAGTTATCTCAGGGATACTGTCCCTAGTGAGGAACTGCTTCAAATTAACCACCAGATCCTCTTGATGGACAGACCTGACAATGTACATACAGTACGTACATGATTAAATATCAACCAATAACAAAAAATAATGTAATCTACATATGCATATTACATGTACATGTACTTTCCCCTCAATATGCCCCAGTGTACGTGTACAGTACTGTAAGTGCATCTACAACAAACAAGCAAATTTCAACAGTGAAGTTTTTCCCAATAATACAATGTACATTAATCAAATGTATTGGGCACTATATACTATACTGTAGCTACAAAGAATTAAACAGTATCAGTATCACTTATTCCATTACAACTATTAACAACTGTACATACAAGCCTATGCCCAATGTACATGTACATCATTACATGTATTATACATAAGTAGACATGATACACTAATACATGTACATGTACATGTACTAATTACTTTAATTCCATCCAGCATGATACAAAGGCGGCATTGAATAATTCCCTGGCCAGTGGATTGTAAGCTTGAGCCAGTGCCCAGCAGGATCTTAATGAAGGAGAGGGGCTCTCCTTTAATAGTTCAACTCCTAATCTTCTCAGCCATTCAATCCAATCATCCTTTGATATCCTACCAGCAGTGCTCCAGGCCTATACATATTGTACAATAGAGATATTAATATAGTCTTTAAAAATTCATAAAAAATCCAAATTTGATCGGAATCAACTCAAAATTGATACACAGCATAAGGGCATGTATATGTATCAGGGAAAATTATAAAAAAGGAAGAATTCTCTCCAAGTCAATTTTGAAAAATTTTGGCCAACAACTAAAGGCTATATATAGCCTTTGGTCCTCGGCTCGATTTTTAAGGAATTAAAAAAATTCATAAAAAATCTAAATTTGATTGGAATGAGCTTAAATTTGATACACAACATAAGAACATGTATGTGTATCAGAAAAAATTATAAAAACAAAGAATTCTCTCCTAATCATTTTGGACAAAATACTCTGTACTATTATGTACATTTACATGTACTAGTATAGGGTTTTGGGCCCAATTTTAGAGCAACTACACAAACATACAGTTCATGTATTATTAATTCCCATACTTTTGTTAAGGAGTTCACGTCAAGTGAAAACTTCTTAAAAGACACTGCCTCAATCTCTGCTGCTTCATCATCAGTGCTTTGCTGCTTCCTTGATTTGATGTGTCGCTCTACATCATCATCAGGAGTGAGTGGCTCATCCTTCAAGAAGATAATAATGTTAATAATAAAATTAATAAAATGATGAAATATAACTTACTTTTAATAGTCTACACAACAGGAGCTCATAGGCAGCATGAGAGTAACGATACTTTGTTAATACCTGCAGGTATAGATACATGTACATGTTAATAAAAATAACAAAAATTAATACATGACAATTGAACCAATGATGGGTTTTTGCTTGTCACGAATTTTGTGACAATGGAACTAATGGGTTTTTGCTTGTCACAGATTTTGTGTACATGTAAAATTAGTCAACTACATGTACATGACCTAGTGTTTCTCCACTAACCTTTTTCACCATTTGAATGAATATCTTGTAGCGTGGTCCTAACTGAATCATCATTGAACAAAGGACGTCCATAGCCACACCACGTAGATCAGGGACAGTATCTGGGGTTATAGTGTAATTAATATTATAACAAATATTGAGTACCATATACATGTACATGTAGCTGAAAATATTTGCTGGACTTATAAACGTGTTTAGTAATTTTGTGCTAACAGAATTTATGTGAAACTTTATTTAGCTGGTTTTAAAGCTTAAGCTGTTGATACACTCACTAACTATTAAATTAAATACTTTGTGGAATCAAATTGTCTATTTAAAAAATAAAGAACAAAAAAAACAACAAAAAATTCCAGCAAATACATATATTTCCACATAGCTACAACTAGTACATGTACATTGTTTTTATATTTGTATGCATAAAAACTAATAAGTAAAGATATAATAATAATAATAATAATATACACATATACATGTACATGTATAACATACCTAAAACATCAACGACAGCATGAATGATCTGAGAACAATAATCAGAGAAGTCAAGGGAACTACTCAGTTTCTCAATAGTCTCCAGTGCTATACTGTATAATGAGAGAATTAGTTAATTAAACTGTTTTATGATACAGTGGGGACTAACGTTCTTGCTTCTATTGGGTTAGTTGGATTCTGAAAAACTTTAACAATTGCTGGAACTAGCAAATGAAGGTAATCATCTAAACTAGAGCCACAATATTGAAGAGCACAAAGCATCTAAAAAAGAGGAGAAAGTGATGAATTAATAGTGTCAGAATAGATGAATAAACCATGCTGTTCACTGGAAAATAATGCATACTTAATATACATGTACATTGTATGTGTACATGTCAGGCATGTCTATTCCGGACACCTTGGTACCCAATAATACCCTCCTGATTATGAACCTGTCCTTATTTCAGAGGTTCATTAATGCACATTACTATTGTATTGGGACTGATACTACCTGTCCTCATTATAGAGGCCTCCTTATTTTAGAGTGTCCACAATAGCAGGCTATACTGTATAATGTACATGTACATACATGTACATAAAAATATATACAATATACATGTACATGTACATGTAATTCTCAAATTGTAAATAATCACATTATCAAATGTACAAACCTTTTGAGTAACAAGCTTCTGTTCGCTCTGATCTTGCATAAAGAGACGAAGTACTGGCTGTACCATTGGGGGGAGGTATATCTTCAACTCGTCTCCCATTGCTAGTATGATCTTCTCAACTAAGAGCACTATTGTGATCTGTATTGGACTGTCAGGGGCCCAGAATGTCTACATAATAAGAACAAATAATAATAATAATAATGATAATAATAATAATATTAATAATGATGATAATAATAATAATAATAATATTAATATAATAAGATTAATTCTAGTGTACAATCGACATACATGGAGATGCATTTATCTTTTACAACACAAAAAAACACACAAAATGCATAAATTAAAAGCATTTTAGTTTGAATAATACCAGTACTGCAGATTTGGCTTGTTTTTTAAAAAAAGCTTTTTAACTTAAAAATTATTTTTTGTCAGAAACAATTCAAAATTTTCTAAATAGCATAAGGATATCAATATGCATCAAAACAATGCAATAAAATTTTGGGGTGATTTCAGAGCAAGTTTTTTTGAAAAAAACTATGCCGTATAGTAAGTTATTAAAAAATTTAAAAAAAAAGATCGAGCAGGATTCACTTTGTGCTAATTTGTCAAAAAGGTAATGGAAAAAAGGACAAGTACAATTCTGAACGACCAACAAAATTCTACTTTAAAATTAATTGAAGAGGAGTATAAGAACACTATTTAAAATTGATGTGTTATGTAAGCTGTTGCATATATTGGCCCTGAATCAATGATGTCTCCTGGAGTGGTTCTTGTCTCTCTTCTTTCTCTTGTTCTAGTATATTCTGCTGCTGGTTTGGAGTGTAGGATCTATGTCAGTTCATCTCATGGTATCAACAATACCTCTTGTTGGACTGGAGGAGTTCAAACACCTTGTGCTACTATTGATCTAGCTATACAAGGAACTCCTACTCTACAATACAACTGTTCATCAGGTATCCTTATCAACCTGTCTCCTGGTACATATACACTAGACACTACTAGTCTACTAGAGCAACAGCTACTGAGGAATAATGTGAGTATTATTGGTATGAGGGATGGTAGTAGATATGAAGAGGTTAGTATCACGTGTCTACATGTTTCGTCTTCTTCATATAACTGGTTGAGGTATATTGTATTTGAATGTGTTAGTCTTTATAATTGTAACAATGTTCCTGTTACATGTACTGAACCATCCTTTGATATTACTACACACAATGAACCAGTACTGGGGGATGAGGCTTGTCCAAATTTACAACTAGTCTTAGATGGCATTAATAGACACTTAAAGTGCTTTGATTATTACATTAATGAGAACTGTCAGTGTGAGTATCTTAAATTTGATGCTTATATCACTGATTCAATTAATGAATATGATTGGAGGTATAATTTTAAAGTATGTATTAGTATTAATTCTTTAATTGATCAAAAGCTTGATCAAAAGTGCTATACCAATTTACAACAAAACTGTGATGATGGCATTACATGCTATGAAGTGGGCAAATGTTTCAATGACTATATTAATGCTGGTCCTGTTGAAGTGACACTGTATGCCCAAACACTTGATCTTATTAATATCAATACCAGTAGAACTGTGAATGTTGAAGTACAATGCATACACAATGAAAACTGCAATCTAAATAATACTAATATTTGTGAAAAAGAAAATCCACCATACAAGCTTCAATGCATCAATAACATATTTTCTGGTTGCTGTACTGACAACACTACAGGAGAGTATTATACAGGCTGTGAATCAGACTGGGGAATACCAATGAACAATCTTTACGTATGTAATGAATGTGATAAACATGGTTTACTGGTATTTATTGCAATAGAAATATTACCTATCACAATCATGGTATTATTAATAATAATATTTAATATACAACTAACCAATGGATCTATTAATGGAGTGGTATTCTATTCACAAATAATAGCAATAAATTATTTTGCTTATAAATATTATTATTATTATTATTATTATTATGGTTCTTATTACCAACTATCACTACTATCTGAAATACCATGCAACATATTTAATTTAGACTTCACTCCATTTGTTTATAATTATGTTATGTGTATATCACCTAATACACCACCATTAGGAGTAATTTCCTTTTGGTATGTGATAGGATTCTATCCATTGCTCCTCCTCCTCTTACTCTATGTTTGGATAACATTGTATGATAAAGGTTACAAGTGTGTAGTATTTATTACTAGACCATTTCATCGTTGCATGGCTCGTTTCTGGAGTATGACTGGCATTGAACCATCTTTTACTCACTCTATAGCATCAATATATATACTCTGCTTCACTCAATTAGCTGCTACTTCCTTTAAAATATTGAGTTTTATATCAAGCCAGACAGGACTCAAATTCTTTTCTGATATAAAGCAGGATTACTTTAAGGGGGTTCATGGTGCTGCTGGTTTCTTTGCAATCTTAGTGTTATTGTTTCTGATTGTTCTACCAACACTTTATATACTCCTTTATCCATTCCAATGGTTTCATAAGTTATTGGATTGTTTACATTTGAGGAAACAGCTACTGATATCACTGGGTGATGTGTTTACTGGTCCTTATAAGAATGGAACTGAGAATACTTATGATTATCGTTTCATGGCTGGACTATACCTACTGGCAAGAATAATTATTACGAATCAATTCGTTTATGGATACTATTTTATATCTTCAATACCAATTTCTCAAGCTTGCTGTTCCTTCTTACTAGCAGTAATTGTTATCATCTTTCGCCCCTTTCAAAGAAATATTCATAATTTTGCTGAATTTTTAATTTTGTTTATAACTATGGCCCTTGGATGTGCAAGCAGTGTTATTGGTTCCTTCTTTCTCTTCAACTCATTCAATTCTTATTTTGATGCTGGTTTTTCAATGGAGTTTAAGATTAGTATTTTTTTACTATCAACTGTCAATGGTCTAATTTTTGTCATAATGGTATCTTGCATAATTTACAAAGTGTCCAAATTAATATCAGAGTGTCATCATTATCATCAAAGAAATAATCCAGTGGATAATAGAAATCAAGAAGAAGACTATCAGCCATTAGTTGGTAGTGATGGTGATTGGATTGCTGATCGTATGGAGAATCCACAAGAATATGATGAACAACATGTTCCTGGTAGAATGGATGATGTATCTGAAGAGGATCAACAACCCA